CTCTCTCTCTCTCTCTCTCTCTCTCTCTCTCTCTCTCTCTCTCTCTCTCTCTCTCTCTGTGGAAGAAGAAGAAGAAGGAAGGAGGAAGAAGAGATGGAGGGCGAGACTGAAAAGAAGAAGAAGATGCCGTCCTCCTCGCTGTCTCACCTGCAGGTAACTGCCACCATGTACTAACTGCCGCCGGCGTGTCTCTCTGTGCAGGTCGCTAGCATGGAGTCCAGCCATGGCGCCCAGGTAAGTACCACTGTGCAGGTATGGCCTCCGCCTCACCTCCTACCTACGGCTCTACACCTAGCACAGCGCTGTGTCGCGCTGCTCCAGTGGCGCGTCGCTCAAGAAGTGAAATACTTGAACTGTGTGTAGCGACGGGCCTTGCGGGTGTGCCTCTGTGTGCCTCTGGTCCTAGGCCTAAAATGGCCTGCCTGAGTCCCTACCAGATGTCCAGGCGCTCGCTGCTGATGCAGCAGGGAGTGTCCGCTATCGGACAAAAGTGGACCTGGCCCAACAGGGCCTGCCAAAAACGTGGCCTTGTCCGAAGAGACAAACAGTCTGTTGGGACGAACTGAGCCAGTCCGAAATGACGCCCGAACAGACAAAAATAGGACAGCAAATAAAGGAATAAATAAATAAATGCTGCCTCAAATCAAATCCTGCGGCCCTAAGGCCGGCCGTGGGCCTCCAGGGGGCATGTCCGAAGGGTGTGCGGCCTGGGGCCCCCCAGCAACCATCAGGCCCCCAAAATGGGGCCCGTGTGCGGGCTCAGCACGTACTCTCTGTGTCTAAAGTTGTGTGTTCCCGTCAACCTTTTGCGACTTGGCTTTGCTCGTTCCTTGTCCTACTCCCCTGGGTGACCAATGTCCTATTTGGTAGTGGTCATGTACTTCCTCACAATCTCAGTCTGCAAGTGACGATGTGCAGCTAAGCTAAGCTAAGTGGAAGTGCGCTAACACTGGGCACTAATGCCCTGCGCGCTCTCGATCGGCTGGGCCTGACCGGCTTACTTGCAGCAGGTCGGTGTGAGCTGGAATTGCTGTGTTTCGCTGCTAAGTACTGAGATATCATCTAAGAAAGCTACTAGGCTAGCTGCCTGCCTGCCTGCCTGCCTAGCTAGGTAGCTAGCCAGCCAGCCTCCCTACTAGTCTCTTCCTCACCCTGCCCCCCCTCCACCTCCTCCAGATCCTTCTCGCCCGTCTCCGTCCTCTCGTCCTCGCCCTCCTCTTCTTCTTCTTCTTCTTCTTCTTCTTCTTCTTCCCCGCTTCCTCCTCCTCCCCTTTCTCCATCTTGCCTTGCCATCACAACTGATGAGGGAGGAGGAGGAAATCAAAGATACACAAAATACCACTTAACTGTCAATAGTGAAGAGGTCGCCATTCTATCCCCAACAACCTCATGCGGTGAAATTGACAAGAGACATCCCCTATCAGAAGCTAATCTCCTTAATTAGGTTTGGATCAGATCCAGATGTCTGGATGGCACCCAAACCCAGACCTGGGTCCAGTGTGGATGATGTCTAGGTTGGGTTCTTTGTAATGATGTTGTGAAGCCTTGACTTTTTAGTATTTTCCATGTTGCACATTGCGGGAATGCGTGGAGAAACTAAGAGAGCTCGAGGATCCGGAAGTACGGCAGGCAAAGCTGCAGGCAAAACTTGAAATTGAAGCTGACCTGCACATGCGTCCAGGTTTTGAATCTGATAGTGATGACGATGATGATGACTTGCCTCCAGAGGACAAAGGTGCGCATCTTCTTCCTTGCCACAATATGAATGCTCTTCTTTTGTACTTTTCTGCAGAGTGGTGCAGTGGAAGCTGCTTTGGCGACGGGGATCGGATATTAACATGCCTTGTGATGTTTTTGCATTCATGCCTGCATTTAGGGAGGCCCAGACTTGTGAACACAATGTGTCCTGCGGCGGCAGGATAAACGTTTTATTGCATGTGTGTCCCCTCAGTTGTCTGTGCCTGTGGCAGTGAATTTAATAATAGAATGTCATGCTGTGCTTCTCTCTTTTATTAACAAATACTGTATTGAAATACAAGCTGATGCCAACTGCAGTCACACCACCACACAGAAACAGAGGAATGAGTGGAAAGAGGTGGGAAGTGGGTGCGGGAGGTTGAGGGTTTTTTTGTTTTCAACCATGTGAAATTTGTTTAGATCCTCTCTCTCTCTCTCTCTCTCTCTCTCTCTCTCTCTCTCTCTCTCTCTCTCTCTCTCTCTCTCTCTCTCT